TATGATTGACTATTTGACTGTTCAAAATCTAATTAAAGATGAATGAAAGTGTCTCTCATTGTGTTTTGTGCGGATGGCTCATTAGCTCGCACCTCATTTCTTGATATCAAAAACACATTCACGGAAATTATACCCCCCCACTTTTACTGCCTTGTACAATTTTTTGAATCAAATTTCATTAAATTAACTTTTTAAATGTTTTTTTTTACATAATCTTACCTTGTGAAATAAAAAGTAATTTTTTTTATATTCTTTAATTTACTTTGTTAACACGTCATGGTATTTAAATATAAAATTTTTTATTTATACTAAAATGAAATTTTTATTAAATTATTTAAATAATTAGTAATTTTTGAAATGCTTAATTTCAACTATTAGTAATAATTTATATATTTATAGTTAAAAGGTTATATTTTTTATTTGTATTGTACACATTATTTTTTTCATGGTTAATTTTTTTTATAATTTTTATCCTCAATCAGTACTATTCAAAATTTAAAACTCATAAAAAAAATTTAAATTACCAACTACTTTATGGTATAAATAAGAGATTTAACATTTAATTTTTAAATTTTTTTATAAAATTTAAATTATAAAAAAATATTGACTAATAATAAAAATTCTTAATAATATTAATTGTACACATATATATAAAGTACAAATAATAGATTTTACCGAATTAAAAATCAAACATTTTCTCCAACGTAAGATTGGGGGTATCACAAAATTGGAGGCATGAAGGATCCATGAACACGTTAACGCGGAACCAGTAAAATTTGTGAAGAAGCCACGAAGATTCCGAGAACCCAAAACCACGCAGAATCATGACAACCTTTGGAAATGAGAACATATTAGCTTTTTGAATTCTTGATTCCCGGACATTAAATTGATAGTCTCGTAAATTAATAGTCAATTTATGTACTATATTGCTGAGCCTTGCCCCTGTCACACGTATACAATTTAGATTAAGCAAATCCAATGAAGTAAAAGGGGGATTGAACGCATTCAGCACGCTAGAGCTAATAGGTTTTTTTTTTTTTTATTGGTTGTATAATAAGATGCAATTATTTCTTATCACTTATCTTACCCTATCCGTATGTTATACAATTCGAATTTAGGATTTCGTACTTTTAACGAAAAAAAATGATCACTAAATAATTAAGAGATTAATCACTTGCAATTTTAGTATAAATACCACTCGAGTTTGATGTTTAATTTTATGAATTCTTTTCTCCCATCCCTAACAATATGGTTAGAATACTTATAAAAATTTATCTTATTTTTTTTAAAGAAAAAGAAAGATTTAATACACCTATCTTAAAAAGTTAATTGATTATTAATATTTATATAAAATGTATTTTTTATTCTCACTCTAAACACTACTTTTACTTTTTAAGTATTGAGTTTAAATTCTCCTCACTTAAAATTTTTTTTTTTTTTTTACCAGATAGATGGTTAGGAAGTTAGTAGAGTTAGTTTATTAGCGGCTGGAATTATTCTAGAAAAGTGAAACTTCCACCCTTCATTTGAGGTGCGCGACTATTAAGTAGCAAGTTGGTGAAGTTCACGGCGGTGGCAAAGCTTGAAGCCCTGCCCTCCACCTCACCCATACCCTAAAACTTGGTGGCCAACCAATTTAGCCACAGTCCGGTTTGCCACTTAAATTTGTACTTACTAAAAAGAAAAAGCAAAAAGGGGTTGAACCTTTCGGCAATGACCCATAATGTGAAAGACTTCGGTCTTCCAGAAGACCCAAATTAACTTTACTACTCAAATATTCAGTCGATTAACCAACACCGTCTTTCGGAAACTTTTTCCATTTTAATTAATTGTTGTGAGATTGATGTGAGTAGCTGGCAATTAAAGAGGACGACCTTTTCCTTACTAAAAGGAGTCTCCCAGAAACCATACTGTCTCTATCAAACAATGTTGGAATCTGTGTTCCCAATGAGTCGGCATAAGTTGATTGTTGATCGAGTAATTAAGGATATGTGGAAATTTTTTTCTAAAACAATATTACAATTATTCTATGGTATTAAGGGAAGAATGGGAAAAGAGAATTCCAAGATTTGAATATTTAACCTAGATGATGTTCTTACAAAACTCCATGATAAGTCATTAGGCCTAAAATTAAGCAACAGATATGCCGAAATTTTTAGAAAAGTACAAGTTTAAAATTTGAATTCTTGATTTTGAAAATCGAATCAATATTCATGTTACTTTCATTAGTTACATGTCTAGCTGTACTAATTAATACGTATGGCAGGATTCTACTTTGTCATGCAATAATCCAATACGTTTTCTAGAAGAAAACACACCATTTTGACTGCACATAAATAGCATATATATCTGTTACAGCTGTGGCATGCATATGAATAGCTCGATGATCGAGTTGAGTTTTTCCATTCACCAGAATTATTACGTCCTCTTCTCTAAAGTCCAAATCCATCATTGTTTTTGCTTAATTTCTTCATCGACTGTCAATTCTTCGTTAGCTGCCTATGCTTCATCAAAGATGGGGGAGTCCACACGCTTCTTTTTCCTTGTCTTTTTCCAAAAATATATACATATCCACAAATTAAATCAGATT